ATAAGATAAAGAGAATAGCAAGTGTCATATTATTAACTATAATATATCAACAAATCAAATAGAACAGGTCAGTATATACACTGATCTGAATGTTGACCGTCCTGGGTAAGACGATAAATTACATCCGCGTCCTGGGTAAGACTATAAACTACACCCGCGTCCTGGGTAAATCTATAAACTACATTGCGTCCTGGGTACGACGATAAACTACATCCGACAGCAGGGCCTCTGATCAGAAAGTTTTGAGGAGAGTGGAATCACCTCTTAATTGCTGATGTTCCCAGGTAAATGTTAATACTATTTATTATAAACAGAGCATTTACTTTAATATTTGTATCATTAGAAATAACGTATAAACAAAGAAATATGTTAGAATAATTGTCGGACTTTTCATAATATATATATATATATATATATATATATATATATATATATATATTTATTGGTGGCCTGATGATTGCGTCTAGCATGATACAGCCTGTCGCCTCTAAGTGTTGACTTCAATGTTCACTTTTATATTTACACACGGTCTATCTCTGATATTGAACACTTTATCTCATAAATATAGCACACCTTAAGAGTATATTTCTTCATATATATATATATATATATATATATATATATATTTTGAATAAAAAACAGACCACTTTAGGTTCCATGTAATAAATTATTTCAAAAGCCCTTTTAAAAATTTTTTTCATTTTGCCCAACCTTTGAAATGAAAAGTTTTTTGATTTTTTTTTCATTTAAAAGGGCTGTGGTGAAATAATTTAAATAACATGGAACCTTAAAGTGGTCTGTTTTTTTATTCAAACATATTGGCTCTGAAGTTACATTGAGTTCTCCGGATATCATCCTCCTTGGGTCTACCCATACGGATTACCTAGTTTTGCATAAACTATATATATATATATATATATATATATATATATATATATATATATATATATATATATTTCAAAAGGAATCATGTAGTAAAATCTCCCTTCCAGGTCGTGCGCAAGAGGAGAAAACGTAATGGTTTGCTTTTGTTTTCAGATTGAATAATTAATTAATGCCAAGAAAACAGGTTTTATTTTAAGTAGAAATTGTTTGTTTCTCACATAAATTGACTGGGCGGGGATCCGACATTGCCTTTATAGGTGTTGTTTTTCACGACTGTTTCTTTGGTAAAGTTAATTGGATTTTGTAATTATAATGGGACGCTACTTAAATGGTCCGCCATCATTAAACCATGGAACAATTAGCAATTGTTTATGAATGAAATCATTCGATTCACAGTATTAGTTTTACTCATTTTTTTTGGTTTGTTTTAGGCAGATATTTTTCTCTCAAATGATCTTTCTTTCGAGTCAAATCTTCTTTCTTTCTTTCTTTCTTTCTGCTACATCTATTTTCTTTCTAATAATCATTTAATCGTATTTTAATTAAATCTGTTTTTTGCTCCTTTGTTTACCTTATTTTTATTTATCATTTCTTCTTTCAGGAACAATTTTCTAATTCTCGTCATCGTCCTTAGCCAAATTTTATTTGTTACTTTCTTTCTTCTTTTCAGGCACATCTTTCTTTCTCGGAATATTTGTTTTTAGCCATAATTTAATCTTTTTTTTATTTTCTTTCATCTTTTCATGTCTTCATTTAGAAAATATTTTTTCATTCGTGTCATCTTATTAACCAATTTTACCTTCTTTCTTTCTTTCTTTCTTTCTTTCTTTCTTTCTTTGCATTCCTGATATCTTTTCTTTTAGGAACATTGTTATTTGTTGGCATATATCTTTCTTTCTTTTAAGATTCCCTTTCTTTTATTTCCTCTTCTTTTTCTCTCTTTTCCCCATTTTCACATTCAACTATTTAAAAATATTTTCTTTCTTCGCTTTCATTTACCTCAATATATTCTTTATCTTGCTTCCTATTATTTTGATTTTTATCATTAATATTCCTATTCCTTTTCCACAAACAGCCATTTTTTTTCCTATTTCCTTCCTATTTCCTTTCGAACTTAAAAACTCAAAATCAACATCACAAATGTTTTGCCTCTAAATATCCCGATCCTTAGAAAATGTCTTTTTCGTCTTGTTTATTTTTCGTCTTCCTTTTCTGATTTTTATCAAAATCTGTTGATTGAACGGCCCGCTCGTCTGCGTCTCTCTTTTATCTACACATGTTTACGGATTTCAGACTTAACCACTAAGTTGGCCGCAACGGCTGGACCTGGAAAAGGGCGGGCGAAATCTTTATTTTCTCCTTCAAAGAGCTCCAAAGGAAATTTATTCTTTTCACTGGGCTACACTTGTGTATTTTCTTTATAACTGCACCTAAAACATACTTATTATGTTTTCTTCTGAACATCTCTTTCGACCTTTCCTTATTTCCGTTAAGTGGCTTTTAAACAATTAATATATCATATTTTTAGAAACCATTTCTCTTTCTTTCTTTCCTTATTTATTCATTTTATTTATTTCTTCCTTTATTGCTTTCTTTCTTCTTGCTTTCTTTCTTTCTTTCTTTTTAGTATCCTTCAATTAATTCTTCTTTCTTTCCGACTTTCTTCATTTCTTTTAGCTTCTCTTTCTGCCTTTTTTTCTATTATCCTTCAACGAATCCTTCTTTGTTTGTTTGTTTTTTTCTTTCTTTCCGTCTTTCTGTTTTTCTTTCTTTCATCCATTTTTTGTTTTTCTTTCTTTCTTTTCTTTCTTTCTTTCTTTCTTTCTTTCTTTCTTTCTTTCTTTCTTTCTAGTATCTTTCAATTCTTTCTTTCTTTCTGTCTAGTATCTTTCAATTCTTTCTTTATTTCTTTCTTTCTTTCTATTTAGTATCTTTCAATTAATTAATTCTTTCTTTCTTTCTTTTATCCTTCAATTTTTCTTTCTAGTATCTTTCAATTAATCCTTCCTTCCTTTTTCTTTCTTTATAGTATCAATTACTTCTTTCTTTCTTTCTTTCTTTCTTTCTTTCTTTCTTTCTTTCTTTCTTTCTTTCTTTCTAGTATCTTTCTTTCTTTCTTTCTTTCTTTCTTTCTTTCTTTCTTTCTTTCTATTTAGTATCTTTCAATTAATTAATTAATTCTTTCTTTCTTTATTTCTTTCTTTCTTTCTTTCTTTCTTTCTTTCTTTTTCTTTCTTGTTACTTTTTTCCCTAGAAAGAGGCATAATGTTTTTGAAAACTAGTGAAGCCCTTTAAAAAATTCTTTGAATTTCAATGAATAACATTTTTTTCTGAAACATGTTAGAAATATTTTCATCGTCCTAAAGCTAATGTCAAGATCTGCAAATGTGCGTAAATATTTTTAATATCTAAATACATAAATCGAATGATATTTGGACATTTTTCTTTTATCGTCTAGATTTTTTTAATAATTTCCCTTCCATATAAAACTTCAATGCAAATTCAAGAAAATTCATTTAGACGATTCGGCAAAAGAGCCGGGAGCCTTCAGCCCATTTCGAGCTAAAGACCAAAAGAGCCCCCCTCCCCCGACTTAAACGCTATAATACAACTGTTTTTTAAAGTTTTGAATTTCTGGTAAACAGTAAGATAGCAGAAGAAAAGGTTCATGACTTTGTTTTGTAAAATATGTTAAGATTGATATTAACTTTATTTTATACTAAATTTCAGCCAATAAAATGTCCATGACCCACTCAGGTTACACTCAAGGTACATTCAAGACTCACTCAAGGTATACACAAGACCCACTCGAGGTACACTCAAGACCCACCCAATGTACACTCAAGGTACACTTAAGACCCACTCAAGGTACATTCAACGTCCACTCAAGTTCCACTCACGGTACACTCAAGATACATTCAAGACCAACTCAAGGTACACTCAAAACCTACCCAGGGTACACTCAAAGTACGTTCAAGACTCACTTAAGGTACACTCAAAATTCACTCAAGGTACAATAAAGGTCCAACTGTCTCAGCTATCTCCCTTTAACTCGAATCTTCAAGTTTTTGAATCACCTCTGCTGTAGACAGGTATTGAACTCACAACTCTTTGGGTCAAGTTACTGGATTCAACCAACGCTTTTACTGCGGGGGGGGGCAATGAGTGCATGAATTCTTGGGACTTGTAAACCTAATGTCTCAGTAACTATTTTTTTTACAAGAGCTCATATTACGATTTCTTTTGTTATTATTCTTTTTCTCTATTACTGGTTCCCATATTGTATTCATTTCTATGCTTGATCGGTTTAATGTCCTTAAAATGTCATTAACAGAAGCCTGAGGTCTGTTTCGCTTATCACCTGCATTGATATGGAAGTGAATTTCGGTAGATTTTGTAGAACTGTGATGAATGTTGCAAAAATCTTCGTTCACGCAGTCAAATCAAAAGATATTTAAAAGAATAAATAAACGTGTTTCCATCTATGTTGTAGTGATTAATAGTGAAGTTATTTTCTCATTAATGAAAATTTTTTTATTCTCTCCTGCAAAGCATTCTCAGTTGGGCGCCAACTCCGTTGAATTAGTATTTTCGGATCATTCAAGCACATTTTATATCAACAGATTCCGCATATAGACGAAGCAGAAAACAATCACGTGACTGTTTTTTTATAATTTTTTTAACCAATAAAAATTGTTGAAGGCTAATTTAATTTGGAATCCAAAAATAGGATAGAAGAAAGACGTAAGCAGATATTTTTAAATTTCAGTAAATTTTTGACAAAGCAATAACTTAGTGAAAATAGTTGCTTCTTCTACTCCAGCGAATTGACTGATTGGTTCATTCATTTTTTTACAGTTTACCAACCCTTTGCAAGTTTCTAAAGCCAGCAAATGTTTTAAACAGTAACATTTGGGAAGTGGTGGGAGAAAATAATGGTTTAGTGATACAAGTCATACTAATTAACCCATAGGTGGGTTAGAAACGGTGGATTCATATATTTTCCCAAGGGTATTAGCACGTAAATGAATATAACGAACCCAACAGACATTGGACCTCGTCTCTACGAATAATAATTCCGAGCCATTATCCATTAAACCACCCATAAGTCCACGCTTACAGCACCTGGTATTCCCTTGCGGGCACCCATCTAAATACTGATCAGGCTCGACGTTGTTTAACTTCGGTGATCGTACCGTAACCATTTGTACTTGTATCTGTCCGCTTCTAGCCACGTATAAGAACAATGAGTAAAGTCATTTCTCTCACCCGTGTTTCTTCTTATTCTATGCGTCGTGTCCCTTCAGTTTTTGTACCCCAATTTGGGGGGGGGGGTCACTATTCCCCCCCCTTCCCGGAAGAGGCGATCCTACCACCCTGGGAACAACAGCAATTATTAGTAACCTTCATTCTTCTCAGTAAAAAAAGTCTTACCAAGTGATATAGGGTCTAGATATATTGATTGCCATAATTTTTATCAATCACCAAGGATGTGGTTTGTTGGAACTCAAGTGCACCGTACCCTGTTGATCTTGAATATCGTTTGAACACAAGTTTAATTTAAGTACAACAACCTGAAATAAAACAGTAATTAAGAAGTGCTTCCAGGCTCCTCAGAATCTCCTGAACAGAAGTCTTGCTGCTATATGCAGTTTATCTTCATACTCTGGAGTAACTCATACACGGACAGACATGTTAAATTTAAATAGTGTGATAAAAACGATTTTTTGTAAGCCAATTTTAACGCGTACATATGAAATAACTGTTCGAAAAAGATTATGAAGAAACAAATATAAAAGATTCTGCCATTTGTGTTTTTCATCTGTTTTAATTATGAGCAAAAGAAAGCTATTAACTCTTGCTGCCTATGACAAATACCATTTTGCAACTCGGGTCACTCTGTAGAATCTATTGATATCTCGTTCTAATCATTCATTAGACAGGGACCTCTTATTCATATGACATTTCCCGTTAACAGCATGCTGATTGGGATTCACTTCTTGACTTTCTTCAAGACGCCTCTTGGGCTGACATTTTTAATCTCCATACAGAGAATTGCGGCACTGAAGATTCATCTTAGGTAAAGACCGGCATAGATGCTTTCATGTCAGCGTGTTCTGCCGATATAGCCCACAGTAATCACTATTTCCAGCTATAACAGCGTGACAGTCCCGATCTTAACAGACGCTTATTCCTGGCTGCACGTAATAAATGCAAATGTGTCCTCGAAGGAGCTAAGTCTCTTTTTGATGAGAGAGTGCAGCACTGTATTTTATCAAACATCTTTGGCTCTCGTGATTACCGGCGGTTTAAATAACAGTACGTTTTCCATTCTGGTTACACTTTTGTTCTTGCTCCTTAGTAATGCTTCTGATTTCTAATTTTTCCACACCCAGTAACCGCTTGAGTCTTAATGGCTTTACTGTCTTGCTTAAGGTGAATTTGATTAAACAAAACTAAAAGAATCCAATTCACTCTTGCTACCTATGACAAACATGATGTCTGTTTAACGGTGAGAAAAACAAACCTGTTAACTTTTGCTACCTATGTCTATCATCTGTGGGAGACTAAAAACAAAAGAACGTCCACAAAGCTAGGAAGTAGTTTGAAGATAATTTGAATGACACTGACGAGTCATGTGCAGAATTGGGAAGAACTAACTTTAAATCGTACAGAGTGGAGGCACTTTATAAGGGAAGGATGCGACGCCTTTGACGATGAAGGTCTCAGGCATACTCAGATGAAGCGTGATCGCCAAAGAGGTACTCACTCTGATTTGCCAACATGCAGCCTTGGAAATGTGATGTGTGTGAGCGCATGATGCTGATTTCAACCAGAAGCAAACCAACTATGCTAACCTATCTTACCATTCTGTCATAATAACTTTGTTTTCTGTAGATTATTATCTAGACTGAGAACGCACATTGCGGTACACAGGAGAGCTGTAGGTGATGCAGACCCCAACATCGCAATCAAGGATACAGAGTTTATCTGTCATCTATGCCTGATACCTATAGAATCGATTACTGGTCTCAGTAGTTATCTTTGGCGCCATGGACGTTGAAACAAGACGGAAGCCATTATAAGTGATGTGAAAGATGAAGAGGCGGCTCTCATCTGAGTAAAAGGCGGCAATCACGATGCATCTATATATGTATATATGCATACGGTAACTATAAATTATAGGGATCTTTTTATAAATTAATTAAAGGCAAATATTAATATTACTTTAACAACGGCGGAAATGGCTTGATGGTTTTCTAAAAAGACACCACAACAAGTCCGTTTCCTCTCGCGCAGCCTACGATTACTACCACTTTTCACAATACACATACATTGTAAAACATTTTAGCAACGAACCTTTTAAAATAGCTAATGAATTGGCTGAAAGCGCTTGGGACTAAAATCATTGGGGACAGTTTGAGCACTCTCTTTTTAGTTATTATTGATTTGGATTTGACATTCATTTATCCAATATACCTGATACATAAATTTTTATAAATCTTCCGCGTATATATGTCCAAATCGTGTAACAGCATGGTATGATTGTTCATCTCATAAAATATTTAATATCTAAAAAAAAACACTAAACTGTGTCTTTTTTCCATTTTCTCGTAAGAACAACTGAAAAACCCCTTGAGTTATTCAGCTAGAAAGATAAAGGTTAAAATCGTTTTGTGTCAGACTCACTCTGTCTTCCCAAATGAGCAATGTTGAGAGGAAAAAGAACACTCAGGCCTTCAGTAATGGTACCAACATTCCTACATTAGCTTCCATCTTTATAGTCCATTCAAGTACCATCAAGAGAACTGTGAATGAGTTTTAAAAAGAGTTAAGAATAGAGGAGTAAAATGGTTCAGGAGGTCACAATAACAAGAGGTAAGATCATTTCAAATTAGAGCAAAAGTGATCAATTAGAAAAGATCCAAAACTATCTATAAGACGTTTTGAACGTGAGTGGAAGTGTTTCACTTATGACAGTCTTAAGAACAGTGAAAAAAGACATGAAAATAGTACGTGAAATATGTGAGACAACTTGTTACTTCATGACTGAAAGTTAGAAAGAGCAAAGATCATCTTTAATAAGTTGGAAAATGAACCTGGAATAATATATATATATATATATATATATATATATATATATTAACTTAATTTCAATACTTTATGGGCTCCCGATTGTCATTTTCGTTTATGATCGATTTCATCACGATTCTTCTGTTAAGCTTAGAGAGTAATTATACATTCTTATTGCTCAGAAGTAGAGTCCAATAGTGTTATAAAAACCTCGGAGAATTCCAGTAACATATCTTTAATCATTTCTCAGATACAACGGTTCACAGCTTAATCTAACAATTGGACAATTTTGCTGTTATACGATTTGGACAATTTTGCTGCTTCACCCGGTGCGGCGCACACACACACACACACACACACACACACACACACACACACACACACACACACACACACACACACACACACACACACATATATATATTCAAACATGTTTCATTAAATAATATAGACATATCCATTTACTTTTATAATAATTCTTTCTCATTGTCTAATCAATTTCTTGATGTTAAGATGAAATTCATCAAGCAAGGCGTCGTAGTTTTTCCCTACCAAAGTACTTTCGATCTCTTCCAAGATCATTCTCAGGCTTTATTGTAACTGTGATCGTTGTGATGATAATTTTTAAAAACACGCGTGAACGCGCTCTGTTATAATTATTTAAAATTTTTTAATTTATCCTTTGTAGCTAAACAAGCGTCCCAGTATAAGGGAGCTGACCATAAAATGATAGAAATTTAAATGTTGGTTAATTAGATTTCAAATCGTTGCTGCTACAATGGTTATATATATATATATATATATATATATATATGTGTGTGTGTGTGTGTGTGTGTAATGATGATTGTCACTTCTTTGCAAATGAAGACCATCTCATCATATGGTAGCTTTTTGTTTGTTTTAATTTAGAATTTTATTATTTCCATCATTTTTACCCGAGCGAAAATTCTTCTATAGGCCCGTAAGTGATTCTTAAGGCCAGCTTCCCTTTTACAACTTCTCTTACACACGTAGCAAACATAAAGTTGGTCTGTGTTACCTATGTTGAGGTTTGAGTCCCTCAACAGACTTACAATTCTTGTCACAAAACTCGTACAATTAAACTGCAGGTTTTTCTGCTTGAATTGCATTCACAGAAGTTTGTACCTGACCTCTCTGCCGTGATCTCACGTGACTGGTTAAACCAAGAGGGTGACTTTTGCACAAATACTGCAAGTGTGTGGGTGTCCTAAAGGCTCTGGGACAGATTCTATTTTCCCCTTCCTAATGGCGTATTGTTGCAGCGTTCCCATATTATCCTTCTCCAGCCAGATCTCTCTCCATCAACAGTTTTCAAGCCTTCAACATTAACGCCTAAGAGTCTTTCGGTTACATTTAACGACATTATTGAAACGTTTATCTCTCTCCCTCCCTCCCTCTCTCTCTCTCTCTCTCTCTCTCTCTCTCTATATATATATATATATATATATATATATATATATATATATATTATAGTAAAAAAGAAAAGAACAGTAAGATATATAATCCGGTGTTATTATTAATATTTTTATTTTTACAAAACAGTGCTCAATGTAAATTTACAGAGCATAAATATTATAAATTAATTGATTTAAAAATATGGTTCGTTCGCTACACAGGAATTACCATGTTTTAAAAACTGAAGTTAAAAATTTCAAATTTAATTATGTAATAAAATTAAAAGCATTAGTTCTGTTTCATCTTCAAGCGAATTTTGGAATAACTTATTTTTAGATTTACTGAGTTTTAAAAGCACATACATTCATAATGTTTCGTTTCCAGGGATGCAGAGAAATCCAATCATTTCATATGGAGAAATATAGTTTTAAGATGTGCTATATTTGTGCGATGAAGTGTTCAATATCAGAGACAGAGCGTATGTAAATATAAAAGTGAACATTGATGTCAACGCTCAGAGGCGACAGACTGTTTCAGGCCTGATGATTGCGTTTAGCATGAAACAGTCTGTTGCCTCTGAGTGTTGACTTTAATGTTTACTTTTATATATATATATATGAATATAAGATATCGCTATAGCTGCATTAAAAACATCGATAAATCAATATCCTAACGTAACGGTATCATATCAAATAATTATATGTCC